AGGCAGGTGCTTATGCCACTGAGGTATACCCCCAGCCCGAGATTTCTGTCTTTTTTAGGTTTAATTTTTCTTTCTTTCTCCCTCCATCCCATTGTAGGGTTTTGAACTCAGGGCCTTGTGCATTCTAGGCAAGTGCTGTACCACTGAGCTATACTCCTAGACCTCCCTCTGGTCTTTCATCTTTATCTCAGTAGATGCTATTTTTTCCTTCTTGATAAGTTAAATTCCGTATTTGATCATATTTCTGCCTTTGAGTAACTGCTACAAAGTATAGACCCAAAATTATAGCCTAGATCTAAGAAGGCATATAATCTTCCTGATCAACATTTTGAAATTGACCCCATTTCTAAACCCATATTATTTTCCTATTTTTCTTTTCTTTGTTTCTAGTATCACATTTGATTTTATCTGACTAAAATCTATACTTCATAGGCCATGTCTGTACAACAAAATGGACTATAAATACATAAAAATGAATAAATGTCTCTACTTCCAAGGCTACAGTGGCAGATAGGCTGCAAAATTCCTCGTTCTTGGTGTGTGGTGTCTATGTTGGAACAGGGGAGGTGGACAACGATATTTTGTGCCTCACAACTTGCCAGCAATGAAGCATGATGAAAATGGTCATTGCTATACAACAGAATCCACATGGAGAAAAGCTATTTAATGAGAGAACAATATTTCTGACTTGTGGCCCAGTCTCTAAAATCATGGAGTCCACGTTTGTCTCAGGTAACAGGGAAAGAGAAGCCAGAGAACTGATGGACTCCTAAGAAGGGAAGAGGCAAACGGGCAGCCTGGGGCTCCTGTTACTTGCGAGAGAGGAGAATGTGTGCTTCTACAGCCAGGGGTAGTTTTATCTGCTGCCGCCTCTCTCTGGGAAAGCTACTGTGAGAATGGCCTGGGTTCCTCACGCGCACAGTGGAGAAGCTCCTTAGCTTTGGCTTGGCTTAAGATACAGCTTCCTATCTCCCAGGCGTACTTGAAATAGCGGTAAAGTGTTGACACTTTCTTTTTCACAAACTCAGAGGCTCATCTCCTCTGGCTCCTTACTCAGAGCCTCTGTGGCAGTTTGTGGCTCCACAGGAGAGTAGGTAGTGGACAGATCCCGCCCCTCCACTTCAGGGGGTCAGGAGACTCTCATGGCTTTGCAGGCTTTGTCGGTTAGGGTGCTGCAAACCCAAGAGCCACTTCTGTCTCACATCCTCCACTGGAGTTTGGGGAAAGAACCACAGGGAGGAATGTCGTTGGTGAGAGAAGGCAGGATCGAGCTTACTGTCTTGTGGCACTTGGTCCTGCCGCTCTCAGCTCCTCCCTCAGGGCCTTGAATTCTTACCAGCCTGCTAGGATCTACAGTCCCAGCTATTGCTATGGTTTTGGTGACAGTTGACTCAGTCTGGTCACTGATACTCACGACTTCTGCTTCATGTTCTGCGCCGGTCCTGGCGTCTTGATACCCCCACCCCCGCTGTTTCACAGGAGCCCAAAGCAGTATTTCCTGAGTTGATTCTCCGAGTCTATCCAGTGCAAACTGGTACAGAGCCATTAATAACATGATTGAATCTAGGACTGCATTCCTCTCCCCAGGACAAGCTGGACTGCAGGCTTTGTGCTCCCTCTTCCTGCTTCACAGGATACTTTTGACTTAGAGGTGACTGAGATATATGGGGTGAATCTGCTGGTGTAGTCCTGTGCCTTGGGTTGGTGTCTCAGCCAGAGCCCAGGGCCTCCAGTGTGTTGAGGTCAGGTCTGAGGAGACTGCCAGGTTGCAGAGCCCTGAGCTGAATAAACACACAAATACCCATACGCCTCTGCTACACACACTCCACCCAATACAAACACTGCGAAGGAAGGCTTACCTTTCTTAGAAGTTGCAGCTTTGAATTCTGAACCTTGAGACTGGAATTGGAAACTCTGTGGTATAAAATTATCTTTGACCTTGAAGTGTCTTCCCTGGGTCTCCTCTAGTGGTGGCCAGGAGTAAACAATTTCAGACACTCGGTTGGCAATGGAAGCGACTCTGGGGTCCACAGCTGAAACAAGACAACATGATGCTGAGAGGTCCTGCCCAGGACTGTGTCTGCCTTACTGGTATGCACAGCTGCCTGGAACAAGGAGGACACCCCAGAATGAGAGGACATGCAGTCGCTGGGCAGAGACTGGGGTGTGGAAGGAGTATACAGAGGAATGCTTCCCCCTTGAAAAAGTTGCCCTTGGATACCTTTTGTACCATGAGGAGCTGTCCTCTATGTGCGTCGGAGAATATGCAATAGACTGACAAACATTTGGGGGTTTGTCACTGGGGAAAGAGAAATATCCCTGCTGTTTGGCCATGGTTACCTCCCAAATTCATTACCAAATAAACATCTGCGGGCCTTGCTCCAAGTCTCACCGTGTCTACTTCCTCCATGTCTACCGGAAAGCATTCAATTAATGTAGGGTGCATACAGTGACTGAGTTTTGGATGCCACTAACAGGGATAGCAGAATTCCTAGGAATACCGATTGACTTCCACCTCAGACTTTGCTTACTACACTTTGTCCTTCATGGATGGGAAAGAAAAAATAAACCTGTACTTATTTAAGCCATAGTTGTTTGGATTTTCCATTGTATCTTTTTGATTTTTATTAGTACATGTTTTATTAGTACACAATTTCATGTGAGTCGATACATGTACATAACACATCCTAATTCTTTCCTCCATCCTCTTTCCTGTCCTCCCTGCATCTCTTGTATCTTGCTGTACCTAATCTTCTTAACCTTAACATTCCATATGTAGTGGATCACTGCTGTGGAGAAACAAGATTAGAAGCAAAAGGACATGGGTTAGTATCTCTAAGACGGGTTAATATCTGTTTCCTTCTATCTTAAAGCCTCTTACTGGTAGACTCAGATCATAACCTTACAGTTCCCAACTTAAGCCTGGTATCTGAATCCTGAAAATGAGAGCAGAGGCTAGGAGGTGGCCTTTCATGAACAGAACCATGGGAAACCAACTGCTAAACTCTGGCTATTATATGGCAACAAAGAAATGGACTGTGAGGCTCCTGTGGGTCACACCCAATGTAAAACCAACACAATTACCATAAGAGCCACATAATTAACCAACGAAGCAAGAAAGGGATGAGAACTGTGAGAAGGACGATAAGGAAGACTTGGGAGATAATCATTTCTACTTTTTAAAGAGAAATTTCTAGACACGTATCCAATGAGATATATGGACAAAAGCAGTAAGCAGTTTCAACAAAGTACTCTAAAAGTGAGCTGAGTCATGCAGAAAGTAGGCACCCCCTGACCTTGCCTTTTCTTCCTGTTTAAAAAGTACGTATGATGGCTGGAGTCCCAGGAGCCACTGAGAATATAAGTGGCCACTTCCTATGTCTATGCATGTGTATGTGTGTACATATAATTATAACTATATTATAGTTTATATATAGTTATTCAGCTTCAGAGACTAGTCAGCAAATAAACCTGTTTCTCATTTAGTCTTGGCCTCTCAGTCTCACATGAAGTTTAGCTCTCTTCCCCTCCCCTACCACCCCTACCAGTGTTTTCTAAACAGTTTTAGAAAAAAGAAAAAAAGAGATCAAGTGATACTTCAGTGAATGTCTGAACGCAGAATGTCATCTATCCCTGAAAAGCCAGGAGGAAGGCCGGTAAGTATCTCCTTTCTCCCAGCACAGTTCACACGGCAGGCTGCAAGGCAAAGCCTAGTCAAGGCTGTTCTGCCTGCTGAGAGAGCAGAGACCACCAACCCTCACCTGCACCCTACACACACCCAGGAGGGCCCTGCTGTCCCTGCAGGGGGAGAGGCGAGGCTGGCGGAGGGGGACCAGGGGAGGACACTAGGATATGCTCCCTTCACTCTAGAGTCAGTGTTGCCCCCCCCCCAAGTTTGGAGAGCAGACACCCCTGGCAAGGTTAAACGCAGCTCCGGTGAGGACTTCTGTGTTCTGTGGTCCTCAGGTCCTACTGTGCTGCCCTTGGCCACCCAGCCCCTTTCCACCCTCCTGTGGGTCTCTCGCTGCCTTCTGTTACCTGTGCCAAAGGCCCCCCACCTGTGCTTCTCCTGGCCTAAATGTCTCCACCGAATGGGCATTGATGTTTCCTTGATCACAGTGACCGGTTTACCGCTGCCCACAGCTGGCGCGGTAGGGCGCTCTAAAATTGAGCCATTACTGCCACCTGTTGACCAGTTATCAGCAAGTTACCCAGGCCAATCCAACCCAGCAGGAGGGGCTTTTCCTTAAAGTGTGGGTGCTGGGCATGGCCTTGTGGGAGGTGAAAATGCTTCTCAGAGGTCATGGATGAAGTTCCACTCATACGATAAAGCCTTTCATGAAACATCTTCAATACAATTGGTTTTGCCCCAATGAAGGGAAAGTTTTATCGCTGTTTCTTGGTGGATTTTTTTAGTGTGGTTTGTATCTTTAAAAGTATTTTTGTATCTGTCTAGTCTTTCTGTCAACCTTAAGAGACAGGACACTCCTAATGTACATAAGGAAACAAAGTATAGGGGCCCAAGAGGTCAGCTGCCACAGGAAGAGAGGCAGCCTCCGCCCTTTATGTGGCACAGAGGACCAAGAATGTGGGCAGCAAGCTTACTGATAGACAGTGGAGCCAGGAGAGCAAGTCCACCCTTCACTGCCACCTGCTTCCCTTCTGCACCGTCCTCAGAAAGTTAGGGTGATTATCCAAGGCAAACGAGTGTCCCGTCTAAGGTCTTTCTTTAAAGGATGACAGAGACGAAGTGCTGTGCACACAACGATGGGAAAGATCTGCAGGTGGAAGAGGAACAACTCCCCAAGCCTACCTTCATTCTCCACACGCTGTGCCACGTTGGAAAAGGACCTAGACCATTGCTGACCATGGAGTCTGCCCTGACGTTCCACTGGTCCTTGGAACTCCAAACGGATTTCCCTCCGTGAGTTCTGTGGCTCTTCCTCTTTCTCTGTTACTCCAAATAGCGTTCTCCAAGAATACTTTTTCTTGCCCAGGTTTATGTCCTTCTCGCTGGATGAGTAATTTCTGTAAGGCTTCAGCACCTGTGTCCATGACTTGGCCGATGAATTCCCCAGCCCCTGCTGGGACAAGGTTCTTGTTCTCAGCATCTTGGGTGAGAAGACAGCAGGGGGGCTCTTGAAGACATGGTGTTTGGCATAGAATGCCAGGATTTTGAATTCTATGCTGTCTTGGTCATCATCGTCCAAGGGCACATCTTCTAGGTCACACATGCTGGTGCTGCACATGGTGGGCCTGTAATGACAAGGTCCACCGATGTCCTTCTGCATGTGTGGACTCTTAGTCTTTCTAGGCTAGGAGAGACAGGATGAACACTCAGTACACATCTACTGAGCACCTGTTCTATTTTCCAGGTCAACTAGAGGTGGAAAATCCAGAGTTTCACTGGAATAGGAAGAGATGTGTGTGCAACTATCTCCAAAGGAAGATAATGAGCTAAGAGCTGTAATGGAGATGCAGATAGCCAGGTACAGAGATGGGACAGAGACAGATGAGTGAACGCTTTTGGAAGGACAGAGGTGTGGGCAGGTGAGTAGATATTCAGACTAAGAACTGAATACTGAATAGCCTGAGAGTAGACTCTGGGTGACTTTAGGATGTGTTTTTTTCTGTTTCATTTTGTTCGATTTCTTTTTGAGACAGAGTCTCACTGTGTAGTCTGGGATGACTCTGGACTCACTAAGTTGTCCAGGCTGCCCTCAAACTCACAATCCTCCTGCCTCAGCTTCCTCATGTCCACCATGCCTGGCTTAGGATGTGTACACTATACTATAGTGCAGTGATGGCAAACCTTTTAGCACTTTCAATGGTAACAAACAGCTAGCTCTGGCACACATGCCATAGATTTGCCACCACTGCTATAGCATAAGCATTTGAGGATAGCCAGGGCTCAGGAATAGTGGGGGTTGGTGGTGTTAATGGGCAGTGGAGCCAGACCTTGGAAGCCTTTGAATATCAGGCTGAGAGCTTTGAATCTTCTCATATCAATCAGTCTGAGGTTATGGGGAGGGTGGGTGAGCAAAGAAGAAATGTCTGAACCCACGACAGTGTCCTTCCTCTGTCCTGGTCCTGTACTCTCTGCTTTAGCTTCTCCAGGTTTGCTTCTGTTTGGTATTGCAGGTAAGATTTCATCGGATAAAAGCATCCTGTTATTGTTATGGTGCTGGGGAGGAACCTAGGGCTACATCTACCACTGAGCTACGCCCCAGCTGTATAATAATAGTGTTATTATTTTATACATTTAAAAAGCACTGATGGAAGCAATGGAGGGCTTTTCCATGTCCTGTTGGGAGGGAGATATTATCACAGGCGTGCTTCAGGAGGATTAGTGCAAGCCCTAACAGGGCAAGGGTGGAAGTGTTTCATCTTGATTCCCATCTAAATAACTGTGTTTATGTAATGAACAGATTTTGTTCAATTTTGCTTGCTGATGCTTTCATAAAATAACTCCCTTTCTGGTTTCCTGCTAGGAAAACATTTCTCTTTGCTAATAACTTACTTTGTTTTCTTCAGTTGTATGTTAGGGACTACAATTTCTTTTTGTGTCAGATGATATAAAACCCAGATGTGCTACCTCTCACTGGATTAAAAATTCAAAGTCATTGGATGTACTTGAAAATGACTTGGGTTTCTCAGTCTAACAGTGTTGAGTTCAAATCCTAGGTAGGCTAGTTACTAATTTTGTGACCTTGAGCACCTCTCTGAACTTGGGCTTCCTGTAGGTAAATTGTGAACCATAAAGTCATTGTTCGGAAGCATTATGGGGGTACAAGACACTGGCTGAGAAGTCCTGGCACAAAGCCTTTCTCGCAGCTATTATTATTCTCCTATGTTCATGGATGCACCAATTAACAACAGGGACACATTTTGAGAAGTCCATTGACAGGAAATTCCTTTTTCATTTTTTTTTTTGGTTTTTCTCCGGTACCGGGAACCGAACTCACGACCTTGCACTTGCCAGGCAGGTGCTTTTGCCACTGAGCTAAATCCCCAGCCCCTGAGCTAAATCCCCAGCCCCCCTTTTTCATTTTGGCAGTACTAGGGATTTAACTCAAGGCCTTACATTGAACTATATCCCAAGCCCTTTTTAAAATGTTTTAAGATGTTGAGGCACAGTCTTGCTAAGTCCTCTAGACTGGGCTTAAACCTGTGATCCTCCTGCTGGAATGACAAGCACATTCTACCACATCTGGCTAAGCAATTTCATCAATGTGTAAATACAATATGTGTATTGTATGTGCAATTTCATCAGTGTGCAAATTCAATATGTGTATTGTATGTGCAATTTCATCAGTGTGCAAATACAAACTAAGAGGGCTGGGACATCGCTAGGAGATCAAATCTTATGGAATCACCCTTGTGTCTGGGCTCCACTGTTGACTGAAACCTTATTATGTGGCATATGACTGTACAACTGTCATCCCTGGCCCCTGGACTCTGGCCCTGGCGTGACTCTTAATCATGTACCCTTCTCTTTTCCTGGCCCTGCTGGTCTTTTGGCATGTAAGCTTGGTACAGGAATAAGCTGCAGTGATAGAAATGGGGTAGACAGGAATGTCTCTGCTTTTCTTTCCAATGTGCCTGTCATACCAACACCACCCTATAAAGAAATGGGACAGTCACTGCAGATGGGATTTGAGCGGGTATGAGGAGGTACAGACAAACTGAGCAGGGGCCTACAGGAGGCAGGGCCAAGGTCAGACAGCTTCCACCTTGCCATATCCCTGGGCACGTCCCTTAGTACCCTTGGTGGGTGGTGCCCTTATGGACAGGATAGGCCGAGGGATTTGAGGCAAGCAGTGGCCTCAGCCAAAAACAGCGCGGCTGCTGCGGGCTCAGGGGTCACAATGCCGTGCACATGGTGTGGAAGAGGCGGAGTCCAAGAGAGACCAGAGCTGGGTTTTCTCAGGGGGAAGATACATGAGGTTCTTAGTAGGAAGCTTCCTTCTAAACTGGCAGCTGTGAACACAGCAGGCGGGAAGTGCACCCAGGTCCCGCAGGAAGTATGTCCTGAGGAAGGAGGGGGAGCTGGTACTGCTGTGCTTCGGAAGAGATTTTCATGTAAGTTAAAAACCCAAGCCAAACCTTTTAACATAGTGTGAAGCCTTTAAAATTCGATGTGTGCATGTGTGTGTGTGTGTGTGTGTGTGTGTGTGTGTGTGTGTGTTTTGTTGGAGAGAGGAAGGGGCCGACTTCTTTGAGAAACAGGTTTGCTAAATGCTGCTTCAGGAGTAACATTAGAGCGTGGGAAAACCACTATGGTCAAGATGAGTCACAAAGCTCTTCCACTTTGCAGAAGGACCTCTTTCTATCTGCCTAGAAAGGAACTGGGGGCATGGTCCACCCACCAAGCAATGTGGAGTGTGAGAGAGAAGTCGAAAGGACGAGAATGCTCAGGACAGGGCCACCTATGAGGAAGGAAGGATGGGATGTGGTTGCAAGAGCCTGGATGTGTGGGCATGAAGGAAGCAAATGGAGACATAAAGGTATTAGTAAAGACACAATGTACAGAACAAGTTTTTCCTCTTACTAAGCCTCATTATAAATTAAGGACAAGCTACTGTTAAGTTGATAGCCAAGTCTTCCTTTAAAGCCATATTGCATGAAGGAATTTATCACACTTTTTTGAACCCACCTACTGTCAGCAATTCCTACTGACATTTTACCTTAAGAAGCCTAACTTCTGGGCCCATAGAACTGTGAAGTATAAACATTCTGTGTATGGAGGCCTTGAGCCTTGGTTCAGAGCCTGGAGATAGGAGAATTTAGCTCCTCTATAAGACCTATGAAGTTTATTCTAGGTCAGTGACTCCAGAACCCAACCCTCTTCCTACCAGTCTACATTTACATTCTTTCTCCTTATCTGTTAAAAAAATACACTCCCAGAGGCAAGGTTATATAACTTCTTTTGTTGGAGCCCCAACCTGCAATGGGCTAAGTCCTCCAGGTGTTCCCCCAGCGTGTCCTTTGGGAACCCAGCTGAGGCCCCAACCGGAGTTTCCCCCGGAAGGCCTACCTGCACCACACACTGGGATTTTTCTCACTCCATGGAGTCCTTTGTAGAGTGAGATTTCACTTTCCTTCCCATGGCAGGTAATGGGGTAGACACACAGGAAATAACAGAGCGACTTCATGTTTCCACGTACAGAGGCTGCTGTCAGCCAGTGCCTAACTTCTGCTGCAGTTGGAGCCTACTCTTGGTCCTTGTCACGTCTGCCTGTCCCTGAAGTGAGGATCATGGAGAAGCCCTTGGTAAGAGGCCCACTAAAAGAGCTGACTTCAGTTCACCCAGGACTTCTGAGCTTCTGGGTGTTGGTGTTCCTCCTGGACAGAGGTTTCTAGGCTGAATCCTAACCTCTGTTTTGTCAGCCTCACCTTCAGCTCCCTGGACCCCTTCTGCCCATAGTGTTGTCTGTTTTCTTCTTGTCTCACTCCAGCCTGTGCCTTTATTCTCTCGGCCCTGTCTGTCATCTCTGAGTGTGACATGCTTGTTCAGCCTTAAGGGGAAATGAAGAATGGTATACAATGCCTTAACTTCCCACAGTAGAACCTGAATTTAGGTTGTATTTGTCATACAGAGAGCTAAGGCTCTGACTGTGAAAAGGAGCCAGCTTTCTGGAGGGTTGGAAGGTAGTTCTCTACTTTTACCTGGGTCTAGTATTCGAGGAAGTCTCTAAGGGGTCTGACAGGACCCGGATGAACACCCCTGTTCCTGCCAGGTACTCAGGATTCTGGGCAAACTCAGGGATCCCTACCTTGGGCCTCTATCCCTGCTCTAGGTGAGGGGCCAGCATCTGCATGGTCTCCAGGTAGGCAGAGGCACCTGATCACTGACTTCTATTATTGGTCATACATCTTGTTCTATAGGTACTGAGAGAGGACCACACAATGATAAAAAGGACTTGGCCAGCTGTATATTCTTTAATGAACTACCCAAAACTCTCTGTAGCAAAAATAGAAAAGAAAGAGAAACCTTCATACCCCCTTTCTCCCCGTTTCCTGGAAACTCTAGTTAACTAGTTTCTCAATGTCTCTCTGTATTGTGAGACTGACAGGTAAGAACTTTGCAATAAGCCCCGTCAGTGGCTTCCTGAGTTAGGCTACCTCCTTTGGGAAATTTGGATGGAAGCCCAACTATGTCCTTCGGAAAGCTGTGAAGGAGTCTACTGCCTCCTGGGTTACCTGTTTGAGGCTGTCACTGGCTTCTGCTTCAGGTCAGGTGTCAGGTGGCTATTTCTATATCTTAGCTCTCCACCGAAACTCGAAGCTCCAGAGGAAACTTCCCACAGGTCTT